TTTTAAAAGCTTTGTTTCTTATTTCCTAATTTATTTCCTCATTTTTTATTTGTAACATTGTAGGTTTATTGCAAATAAGTTGAACAAAAGAGAAGAATATATAGAGAGGAATCCCACTATCTAGGTGTAATGTTAGCTGTTTTGCCTTATTTCTAGTATTTAAAATCATTATCTATTGATCAAATTATCTCTATACAAACTTTTTCACTAATCAAATTATATGTGTGTGTTCATATATGTGCCTATACATATATGCATGATAATATTGGCAAGTACATAAGTAAAATTAAAAGAGAAAAGGCAAACAATCTGGAGTAAAAGCATTTGCACAAAAATGAAGGCCATAGGGTTGATATCCTTAAGGTGGCAAGATTTCATACATATAAGGAGAAAGTTACAGTCTCACTGCACTAGTATGTTAACTGTGGTTGCTGATTCTTCAACCTCAAAGAATGTTGGAGGTGTGAGAGAGAGTGCTGTGGTGTATGCTGAGGAAGCACGTACAACAGGGAACTGACATCTGGCAAAGAGATAAGTGACAGACCTTGGTTATATGGTTCTATTTAGTGCAGGGGCAAATATCACACATTCAGGAGTTTTTGTTTGCTCTAAGTATCGCTACGATATGATAATTGATGTTTCTAATGGTGAATCAGTCTGTAAGAAATAGGTTTCATGTGCAAATAAGTCTTGTAAAAAAATATTTTGGTGTAAGAAGACTTTACATGGGCAGCTTCTTGATTTACTGGATAAAAGTCATCCTCTTTAAGCAACTATTTGAAAACAAACCATTATATTTGCTTTGAGTCCAGGTTGTACAGTCAAACTCTTAAGTTTGCTGGAGTTGCTGGAAATGATGTAATTTGTGTTCACTGAAACAGTAAAATAAAGGAAATGGACTTGCGTACTCTGTGGTAAATGGTTACTTAATGTCACTTGAAGCATAAGATAATGTTTATCACTGAAAACTGAAATCAGCCCCAGAACTAGAGGGCTATGTTTGACACTTTAATGGTATAAACTCGATAAGGAACATAATTAGGGATACAGGCTTTTATGTTTGGCAGGGGTAGGTGGCACATTTACTTAACATACGTCACTTAATATTACTCTCTTGACAGATTCCCCAAATAGCATTTTTTCCCCCCATGGCAATATGTGCCATTATATGGTACTGAATACGAACAAGGGTTTTTGTTTGTTTGTTTGTTTGCTTGTTTTTTTGTTTTAACATGGTTTATTGCAGGTGAATGATGAAAACCCTGTGGTACGGTCAAAGTGAAATATTGTATGCTTTGTGTATAACAATTATGAATATTGTAACTTATCTGAAAGAGTTCAATTACACTCATTAAGGAATCGAACTTTTTACTAGCCCTGAGTTTGCTGTCTCAGGCTTCCTCGGAATTCAGTGCAGAATTGCAACTCTGAGTACCTTGTTTGAAATTTTTGTGTTTTCTATTACCCTGAAAGGAGAAGTCCCAAGTTATATTTTCACAGTGGTCCCTGTAAACATTTAAATTTAACTAGTCAAAACCAAATAAATTTAACTAGTCAAAGCAATGAATAATCCTTCCTTTGTTGTAGAACATTTAATAAACAACACCCCAGTAAAATAATAGGAACACAATAGACTTTAAATGTTCTTTTAATGTTTCATATTTGTATAAATATAAAACATTATCTCTTTTTTTTTTAAAGGATGGAGGTAGGGGAGAGGAGAGAACTTCAGATTTTTATATTTAATTGAACTAACAGCATGTGCTGACAAGTAATAAATAACAGTGATCCAGACTGACAAATAAATTGGTTTCCACAAGCAATGATTCATCTTCTGTCTTTCATTGCCATCAGGCTGAGAGACAGCTTTTTGTCAGCTTGTAGGAAAAATTCTTTGTAGTGTAACAATCCTGTTTCCATTCCTGCAATAGCAGCTCTATTGCCTTCTATAGTAGTTGCATTTAAAAATATTTAAATACAATATTTAAATCTACGTTTGGTTGTTCATTTACTTAAAACTTTGTGAAGTTATAAGTGCTCAGTCTTTGTGGTGTTTTACAATATTCTATAGGGTTGTTCCCTCTTAATTTTTTCTTTGATCTGTGGATTAATTAGAAGCGTGTTACTTAGTTTCCTAATATTTGGAGATTTTTTAAAAAAATCTGTTACTGATTTTCAATTTAATTCTGTTATGTTCATAGAAAATATTTTGTTTGACTTGAATCTTTTAAAATTTATTGAGATTTGTATATGGCCTAAAATATGGTTTCTATTGGTAAGTGTTCTGTGCACACTTAAAAACAATGTGCATTCTACTGTTGTCAGGTCAAGTGTTATATGTTAAGTCAGGGTAGTTCATAGTGTTGTTCAGATATTCTTTATTCTTTGATTTTCTGTCTACTGACTTCTTGAAAGATGGCATATTTTCTATTGCCGCATACGAAATTAACACAAATTGGGCTTAAAACAGCACATATTTACTAATATTATCTCACAGTTTCCATGAATCAGGAATCTGGGATAGCTTAGCTGGATCCTCTGCTCAGGGTCTCAGAAGAAGCA